TCGTTCTTGCTGAATACTTTTGATTTTTTCTGCAACTTTGCAGTGAGAGATAACTAAACACATTTCTACAAAGATGTTTTACATACAGGCTAGGTATACAGAATAACTACTTACACATGTACAGCAGTCAGTTATCGTTTTAGAAAGAATGTATAAAGAACGCATATAAAACTTAGTTCGATGTGGTTGTTGATTCTATTTTTTTATCTGCCATTTGGCTAGCCACGCATCCCCTGTATAGTTTTTTGAAGTCTTACAAAATGATTAGATTTTAGTCAAAATCACGTTTGTATCCTAGTGTAAATGCATCGAAGCCACTGGTATTTGTGACGTTAGTTAACTTCGCTTAGTCCTAGAGTTTGACTTTTTATTAAAGATAATGCCAAAAAATTGCCTCGTTTTTAAAAATTACATAATCAATTCAAGATTGAAAATGAGAAGCGAATTTTTAAAAACTCGATAAAAGAAATCAGAAAACTGTTCAAACTATTAATATTTTAGAGAACCGCAGTCAACCATCAATTCTGATGGAAACTCGACGATATCGGAATATTAAGAGAGAAATAAATTTTATAGGATGTTTTTATATACTTTTCTAAAGCAATAATTGTATAGATTACATTTTTGACTAGTGAATTTGTACATCTATCAGAAGCAAACCTGACATGAAATTATACATGAATGAATGTGAAAGAAAGTTATACAAAGCCCATAAACACTGTTTACAATGTTCAAAAAATATCCAAATTTCTTTTTAACTAGACTTTTAGGATACTCTGTAGACTCGTGACATAGATCATAACAGATGGTATTGGCAGGTACTTTTATTCGAAAATCCTTACGCCAAAACAGGAAGAAACTAACTGATATATTGTCAATCGAGGCTTCCTGGAAATATAGTTAAAGAAATACTTTGATATCATTCGATTAGATTTATACAGATGAGAGAAGAATCGCTTGCTAATCCAGAAAAACATTATCGATGAGATTTTTCTCAGATACTATAGTTTATGCAATGTTTGCTTCTTACGGGTAATACCGATTATGATGCTTTGAGTATTTGTGCATTAAGTTTTCAAAAACTTACTGAATAATAATTTCTCTGCATCCAATAGTTCAAAATAGACCATTTTCGATGATCTCGCACATTTTTCGGACATTATAATCATATTACAAGTGTTCCTGATGACATAATACCTTAGAGCTGATGTAGCCATCAGCAATACTTGCGAAAGACGAGAAATAATAAGGAATTGAGCTGTTTCTTGGTTACACTTGACAAAGTTTTCAGATATCAGTTGAAAAATGGTCGCTATCCGTAGAAAATGTTTTCATACATTTGAAAGTGATCATCTCTTCCCTCTTGATGTACTAATTGATATAAGTCACACTTTTCTAGCTAATTATTGTGACGGATGTTTATTCATAAACATTATTGAAAATATGAACTCGATCATTTGATTTTGCTGCTATTTCAATGTCATTGAACAGTGTATCCAAAAACGTTGTAACTCTAGAAGAGAGATGGAGAAATACATATTTTCTTAGGCCATTTCATCTAAGTGGGATATAGTTTCGTCAGAAAATTATCGAATCATCATGTTCTGATGTCGAACAAATATATATCACTCAAATATGTGAAAACATAGATAAAACTGGAAATAGCTCCCTTAGAAAATATTCATATTCTATTTTAAAAGCTTGTTAGCGCAGCTCCTGCGGAGCTAAAATGTGGAACTCACGTATACGTGTAGCTTTGTTACCTGACGCATCATCTGTGTACTGAAAGACTTCTTCTCAACTATAGTTATTTTCATTGAAAATCGATGAAAAGAGCTGGAATTTATTATTTATTTGTATATTAAAAAATATATTAAAAAACGAAAATATTGTTCTTTCATTTAAGCGCGCTCAATTTCATTTATAATTATTGCTATATACTCGATAATAATCATTTTTTTTTTTAATTTGAAATTATTTTTCTGCACCATCAACTATTTAATGAGTAGAACTATTAGAATAATGTAGGTTATATGTATTAACAACTCTTACATTAGCTTATGTCTCAATTAATCCATAATGTCGATACTGTCTATCATTCACACTGATAAAAAGATTGAATCATACATCTCATATTAATTATATGACTGTTATAACAGATTAATATATATTATAACTTTGCTTCCTTGATTTCTAACACGCAAGCTCAAATTAAAAAAAAGATCCACGACTACATTATTACGAACTTTAATAAGTATATAAGTTTTTTTAAGTATGAGAGTATTGAGATATTATATAGCAGTCGAACTGATATTCTTAATATTGTTTAACTTGCTTCTTTTTATTGCTAAATAAATCTGCAGCGTTTTATGCGCGGTTGTTGCAGTCTGTAAGGGGGCGGGGGGGNATATCGACTGAACAGATTAAGCAGACATACTACAGAAACGGTTTTCTGTAGAAACTCTCCATAGCTAGAGATCTATTTGTATGCTCATGTCAGGTATATGCTCTTACTTAACTACTGTCGTTTTTCAGATTGAAATGGTAAGCATGCATGATGATACTGAAGCAATTATGCCTTCATTTGAGAAGAAAAGCAGATTAGTCAGTTCCAAACACAAGCAAAAGACAATTGCAAATGCACAAGATGCAAGAGAAGTTCAGAAAAAATCTATCAATCGAATAAAAAATTACACATTTCGACAGACTATGTATGATTTTTTCTTTTAATGTAAAATATTATTGTTGTTGCTCTTTCCTAGGAAATATTTTTACTGGTTAATGTTGGATTTTACATCCAAACCTATCTTTATATTGCCTATGATTACGAGTATACTTACGATCATAGGCATACTGTTAGTTTGTTTTACTGTACCAAAAATACCAGGTACGTACTTATTGCTTTGTATTCGTCGTATATCATACGACAGAAATCAATAGTTAATTTGGTTCTGTTTTATCAGTATTCTGAGTTTTGGTTAAAAGAAAAATTGAATTGTAATAAGATATTTGATTTTGACATGTTTGAAGGAAATCATGAAACAGGGATACAATTATAAAAATTAACTTGCTTCATTTTTTCAGTTAAATTTTACTTATTGACAAAGATTACAGATTAGAAATGAATTTCAGAAAGAATCATCTGCTTGCCACTTTGTTCTAAAGAAAGCAGTATAATAAGTTTCTCTAACGAGGGAACATTCCCCAGTGATACGCACCGCTTGAGCTCATATTTTGTGCACAAGTAGATCCCAGTGGAGCTAGAGGAAACCTAAAAGGGTTCGTGCCATTGCGCTTTTAGACACGAGTTATGCCCGTTTTACTCGATTTTCGACCCATTTTAAGGTATTGACTGGAAAATCGAATACCTGTGTTTTTACCTGAACTTCGTACATAGATAGATATAATCATCCTTGAAATATCCAAAAATTTCAGTTGAAAAGAATGTTCTTTTGTCGAGAGTTTGAATTTTCGACAAATAGTCGTTTCTCAGATATATTTCACAAAAATTGAGCTAACTTTAATATTCAATATCTCGACAAAGAAACATTTTTTTCGACTGAAATTTTTAGAATATTCTAAGAGTGAGTATACCTATCAATGGGTGACATTTTAGCTCAAAATTCCGGTATTTGATTTTCCTGTCAATGTCTTAAAGTGGGTCGAAAATCAAAGGAAACGGATATAACTCAGGTCCAAAGATGCAATGGCACGAATCGTTCTAGACTTTCTCTAATCTTACTGAGATCTACTTAAGGACACAATATGAATTCAAACGGTGCGTATCACTTGGGAATGTTCCCTCGTAAGATAGAGATCATTGTGTTTTGTACTATCTTTATTTTTATCTCCGGAAAACAAGAATTTCACAATCTGATCTTTTACAAGTGGATGTTAAACATTGTCACTTGTTACAGAAAGATCAACCTTACCGAATTCAATGTTCTTAAATCCCTGTTTCTATTGTTTTTGGGGATACTCTTTCACATCTCTGAATGAAAATAGCAGTTAATCTTAGATGTCTTTTTCTGTATCTCATCGATATATTTTTGGATATAATAGAAATGCCAAAGAAGAAGAGAAGAAAGAAGTGATTTTGTTATTGCTTGTACGAAAGTGAATCGTTCTTCTTCACAGAACATATCCTCTTTATATTTTCTAACTTGATATTGCCTGTAGTAAAGAGCAGAGAGTATATATCTTCCATTGATATCTTCTTTCATTCTGCTAAAGCGTTCTGATACAGTCGTTTTCTTTTAGTCTTTCTGTGTGACTCATATGTGTTCTGTGTCGCATTCATCATTGAGTTCTCATATCTTTATCACATTCTAACGAATTATTTTCATAACCACGGTTCAAACAAGTAATTTTTTTATACTCGTTATAAAATACTGCTTCTTTCTGGCTGATAGCTCACTAGTGGTCAACTATCTTTTCAAAGTGAACAGATAGTAGACACGTTTCTATTTTACTATCTTTTATACCCCTCGATAGTAAAAAGAAGCAAACCTTAAAACGACTTCAAAGTATTATTAAATCTGAAATCAGACAAATTATTCTGTAAATAAGATCTGTGAACATGTGTTGTTCATATGACGAAGTCACTGACAAATACACTGACTATGGGAGTTCGTATTCACCCATGGTTTGTCAACCAGTAGATTCAGATTCGATTCTCGATAGTCACAATTATGTCCATTATTATTCTCCAGTATTCGTAGCAGACTTTGTTATATTCTGTTTGTTATTTCAAATTTTTAATCCAAAATACCGATTGGATCATTAGGAGCATTACACAACAGAACAGTTCTGATATCCGTTTGACTCTGAAACAGTCTGACACAATACAGATTTTCAACGAATTCTATAGTAAGTGCGAAGATGAGAACAGACAAGTCGTTTGATTGATGAATTTTTATATTTAACTTTATCTGAATTCCAAGAAATTAAGCAGAGTTCTTTTGAAATATGATGATTATGTATTGTCTCTAAAAAGAATTATGCGACAATTTCTGACAGCATACGATAGTAATTGTGATGATTCAAAACAATTTAGGACGAATAGTTCTACTGGAGCAAAAAATTACCTATATCATTCTTTTTTAATGTATCGTCTAGTTCCAAAGTGCCGTCTCAATTTCAAAGCAACAGCTCAAAAACCTGTTGAATACAAGTATGGTTCACGTTCGGTTGCCATCGGTGATTTCGATAATGACACTGTGTTGGATATGGTTGTTGCCAATCATATAGTAAACAATATAGCTGTGTATTTGGGAAATGGTGATGGCAGTTTTAGAGATCCAACTATGTATTCAACAGGTTCCTATTCTAGTCCTTATATGGTTATCGTTGCTGATTTCAACAATGACAACCGATTAGATATTGCAGTAGCGAATTTTGGCACTAAAAAGTAGTTCACATATCACGTCATAACGAGCACTTTATATAAAAAAACTTTAAAAAGATTTAGTGATTTACTCAACCCGTAGTCATTTTGATACGTATTAGGAAGAAAGTAATCACATATTGATTGCCTCCATGGTTCTTCAAAATTTAGATTTATTAATGTTTAGACAGCGCTCGTAAAACAATCAAAGTGGAAAGAGAAGTACGACAACAGATTACTGACGTCTCCCATACGTTCTATACACACAAATATATTTGTTTTGGTCATGATCGAAACTTGACTGACGAAGATTGAAGCAATGTAATCATGGGATTATTATCACATATTCATTTATCTTTCATTTTTTTCGTAACTTTGCATGATCCAATGATGTTCGTTGTGATTGCTATCTTATTTCATCTGTTTCAGTTAACGCGATAAAATAATACTGTCACTTAAATGATTTTCATGGCGCAATTATTTCAAAGATCAGGTTTCATATTTTGCTTTATTGATGATTTCCCTATGGATTCCATACATGATCAAGATCCCTTCATTGTTCACCAATCTGTTTTATTAGCTATCGTTTCTACTTAAAATATTCTCAATATATATCCGTGATCAGTGATATGATATGAGATGAGAACTCCGAATGTGACTCGTTATTCATAATCATTTTCTCCTGTTTAGACACGCTTAGTTCGTGAAATCTATGGACATCTCTACCTTACATGCAGTCATGGTATCTACAAGGAAATTCATAAACAAGTTTCTTCAATGTTCTAGCTTCAGCATAGCCGTTCAGTTGAGACAAGAAGTTTTATTTTTAAGTGAAATATTTGTTGAACGCAAAAAGAATCAGCATGATTGGTAGTAGATTAGTGCAAAACTTTTGGTGTCAACAAGTAAACCTCATCGCTTCCGGCTTATAATACGGAGTGGTAGAGACAGCTGCTTTGTTCGATAAGGTTATAAAAGTTGCTTAGCGCAGAGTTCCAGCAATAAAATTTTAATCGTTAATGCCACGGGAAACTATAAGAGAAATCGAAAAATTTGCTTTCAAAACGTTTATCAGTTTCTTTTTCTCTTCTTTAGATTATTCAAATAAGAAGTATTACCTGTCAATACGAAGCGGGAATCCCTATCTATTTTTGCTGTGAACTCAACGATCTGTCGTTTTCTCAGCACATCAACAAAGACAAGAGAAGTATCTTTATGAAATTTAATTGCAAATTTTACTCATTTATCGAAGCATGGTCTTGTGTTTGATACATCGAATACAACAAAGATATAATGAACATGTTGATACCAGAGCTTGAGTTGATTTGTCAAACGATATTCAAACTTCGCCAGTTTTGATATAAAAGTATTCGCAAGCATCAATACGAAACGATCTGTCATTACTAGATATCGATGAATCCAATATTTTTTTGGTCGTAGAGTTCATGACGCAAATGAATTACAAAATAATACAAAATTGTTATATTATATATATATATTTATAGAAGTATATACATAATTATAATAAGTTTATAAATATCTACCAGGGTCTACCAGAATTTCGTGGCACCCACATCGAGAGAGATGTTATATGAGTCATGTCGCGGTACCTACATCGAGACCCTGGCAGACCCTGGTAGATATTTATAAACTTATTATATTTATATATATACTTATATAAATATGCATATATCATGTAAAAATTTTGAATTATTTTGTAATTCATTTTTTTGAATTCCTTTGTACTTCATTTGCGTCACCCAGTGGTTCCTTC